AGGATTAGAGAAGTTAAGTTTGTCAAATGAAAGAACTAGTGTAACATCAAATAATATTCCATTTGACTAATGTCTTTGAGATATCTGTTGTGAAATGGATTTTGAGGACTGTAGGAAGAACTTTTTTCCATTTCTAACTTCTTTTGTGATATTTATGGCTTTTAAACATGTTTTGATATTTTGGTATTATGAAAGCTTTGTTATGAATTTCCTTTATTGTCTTAATGGTATTCCTGAAATTTACCTCATAATCATGTCTTGTTTAGACATGATTCACATTTCTACTTTTTGTAGGTGTTGGTAGAGCCTAGTAATTAAGCAGATTTCTATTTTGGAACACATTTGATAGGACAGAGAACTTCTCAACTTTTCTCTATTCCATATAAGTATCAACAATACCACGTTAGAGCATATATGCTGCAACAAATTCCTTCTGAAAAGCTTCTCAAACAGTGGACAGTTGTACAGAGTTTGTGTGACAGTTCTGGGGAAGCTACATGATGGTGTTACAGGAGTCTTCCAAGCTTTGAAGGCCCCTTTTCCCGTTCTACAACATCCCTTTCAAACAGCAACATGTTCTTTTGAGATGAGGAAATGAATAATGGCTATAATTTCCAGCAACTAGCCAGAGCACAGCTAACTATCTTTAATTGTTGGTGACAGGAAGGTAGTTGTGTTTCCAGTTGTGCTTTGCAACCTCTCTGAATCCTCCCAATTCTACTTGAAAATCACATCATGTATGAGATGTGCTGCTTTAATATGAAGGTTTAATGAGATTGTCAAAGCATTTTTGTAGTATTCATCTCCTTATTTTGAGAGACCTGGAGTTTTGCTGTAACTCATGCATCTCAGAACTAGAAGCATTCCGTTAAGTACGCCAACAAATTAGTAATTACAGGCTGAGCAATGTGTCTCAGTCAGTTACAACTGCAGGATAGGAACTTTGCAGGGGTGGAGGAGGAGGAAAGCAGAAATCTGTGGGCCAGATATGTGCACGGATGTCACTTAGTCTTTGTATATTTTTTTACAACCAGAGATTTTCTTCAGATCTTTATCTGCAGCTGTTTATTCAAAATCCATCTTAAATACTTATTTAAATTGCTCCAAATAGGATCTCCTGAAAGTTTTAGACTGAGCTAAAAGAGTTTAGATTGACACTGTTGTATCGAAATTGTCTATTTCCAAGACTGTCCAGTATTATTGTCTCCTGACTTATTTTTAGTAGCTTTTCATTGTGGAATTTCCCTCCTGTATTTTAGGGGAATTTCTTAATGATCTGTCCTTAGATTTCTATTTTTTCTTCACCATCTTCTCTTCAGGTTGCTTTCTCGATCCTGCTTTTGCCTGCAACGTGTTTTGTCCGCTCTTGTTTCATTGCCTCTATTGTACCTGCCAGTTTCAGCTTAAAGTTAATGTAGCTAAAATAAACAAGCTCTAACTCAAGTTCCTTCCACTTGCCATCTTCTTTCTAATTCAGATCTGTGACTTCATATTTATCTTCATGTTTTTCCCTCACTCTTGTACTGAGCAGTAGAAGGCTCTTGATACAAAAAGACTCTTCCTTTCTTCCTGATTAGAATCTTGGCCTCTGGTTTCATGACTGCGGCAGCTATCCTCTTGTATTTTAATGCACTGGGAGGTGTTCCTCAGGTGAGGTAATCCTTATGCAGATATTCCATTCCTACCTCAGTGTTGTGTCCTCTTTCTTCAAAGCCTTTTCCAACTCAGCTGTGTCCCAGTGCAACATGCTACAGCTTGCCCCGTTCGGTTGACATCATATGAGCTTGTAGTGACACTAGTCCTTCTGCAAAAGCTCTGCCCTTTTTGTGCTGCGTCTTCCTGGAACTGATCGGTAGAGCCCCTGGCTGCTTTAAACTTCAGATTGGTGCTGCTGTGGCATAGTTGACTAGTGACAGCTGAAGGAAGGGAATATTACTGTGTGTACGAGAATCATAGTGTCTGGGCTTCTTAATGCTGTTTCAAAATAGATCGAAGTCCCTGGGCTTCTTTTTATATACCGTTTTCTTTTACTTGACCTTGTGTCACTGAATTGTAGAGTCTTTACTCTCTTGTGGAGAAATTGGAGTGTAGGTTTCTGGTGTGTTAACATTTGTAGTATGGGTGGTAACTGTAAGCTGTCAGCTTCCTCAATCGTTTTCAACTTCCTGTTTTAAGAAAGTGATTTAATAGTGTTTAAAGATGTATGAAGTCGTACCAGTAATCTTTAATCTTGAAGTTGCTGTGCTGCCAGTCAGTGCTGTTGCATTGCTGTAGAATGCATGAACAGGTACAAATGTTACCTCTCCTGGAAAGCTCTTCGGCTAAGGAGGACTTACATCTTTTAGGTCCAACAGTGGTTTGACAAAGAAGATCACTTAGCTGTATGAAGTTATTTGTACATGCTTCATAGTCGTCTTTCTGTTCTTTTTCCCTTCCTGCTGTTGGGAAGAGAGGAAGAGGTAGTAGAAGCATCACTCTGATTCTTAGCCTTGCCCTTGGTCTTATTTTTTTTTAATCCAAATTAGGCAAAGCAAGTAGAATTAAGTCAGTTTCAAAACTTGAGATTGGCTGTTCTTTGTCAGATGGGAAGTGAAGATCACTGCTTTATAATAATGAGATTTTGTAATTGCATGATGTGCAAGAAACTGTCCTGAAAGAGCCATTGTGTTACTGCATTGATGTACATGTGTTTGTCATGAGGTAGTGGAGTTTCATGAAATAGGTATATTCTAAAGTTCTGTATTTTCTTGAAATGTAAGGTGTGAAACAAAGGATGTTAAAGGAAAAACAGCTGACTGGAAAGAGATGGGAGAATCTGCAATATGTGTTTGGTTAGAAAGGGAGGTGGAAAAGTGGGAGCTGCGTGAGCCTGGATTGCTTCAGTAAATAAACTACTTGTGAAACAAATGTAACAATTGGAAATTGCAGAAAAGAATGTGTTGGAACTTAAAATACCAGGTGCCATTTTGATTAGAGTAGTCTTGTAGGTTTGTTGAAGATATCCCTTTTGTGTGTCTTTCAAAGATGACATGCACTTTAATTTCGTGCCTGTTACAGCGGGTGTTACTGTAAACACTTCAAATGTGCATGCAACTTCTCAAACACAGCAAGGCATGTCAGCTACCCAGAGAGCTGGGAGTGAGTCTAGCCTGTACAGCACAGAAGTTGGCTTTGTTGCCTTTGACGTTCTTTTTATTGTGTAAACATACCTTAGGACAGAAAAGAGTACAGGCAAATAAATGCTAAAAAGACAGTAAATTTGAAGTGTTAGAGAGCTAGTAAATGTTAAACACTACTTCTAACTATATGCAGATAATCACAAAAGTACAGCAGTTTATGTAGTTGTTTACATAGAACTGTAAAAATTGAGTGATTCTTGTGCTTTCCAAGGATCTTCAGGGCTATAAATACGTGATGGGCTCTTAGCTTTTCTTGTGGGCAGAGTGCTTGTAAGGATTGTAAGGATTTCTCCAAAATCAGTTTTAATGACCAGCATGATACTGGCCAGAGCATAAGCCACATGGACTATAGGATGTGGGCAGTGGCTATTTGTATTGTTACAAACAGCTTCATTTTTGTTTGAAAACCTGGCAGCTAATAAAAATCCTCTCCTGCATTTGCAAACGTAGCTTTCTAATTTCAGTGTTTATGAGGGAAGAGTGTTTCAGAGCATGCTCTAAACAGTGATCAGTATTTTGGGTGAGATATTTGTGGTGGTTTTATAAGCATGCTTCTTGAGAAGCTTTTGTAAGAAGTGACCTTAAGGGTAGTAAATAAAAAAAAAAAAAACCCAAAACTTTTAAGGCTGTTTATAAAACAAACTGAGTTCAAGTTCTAGAATTACAGAGGAAGGATCAGCTAATAATCTCGTAATAGAGCTGTGGGAAATAACCTCTCTGTTGCTGATGTCATTGGTATAATTGTCTGATTAGGCTGTCAAATGTTCCTACATTAGTGTGGCGTACAACCATATTCACTTGGGAGTATGAACTCTGTTGTTACTTCTAGAAGAAATGTTCGTTTAACTGTTTCTGCATATGCGTAAACTCTAGTTAGAGCTGTAGATATTGCAGTTCACTGTTGCCTTTTGCTGAAGTGCATTTCCAAGTTTGGTTCTAGTCCAAACATAAGGCTTAAATATCCCTATTTTGAGTGTGTGATTGGTTATGACTTATCCTTTAATCTGTTTGTTGAGGGAGGAGAAGTTTTCAGCTAAATTTCTAGAGCCTTTAAACTGGAATACTTCTTTCTTCAGTCATAGAATGCTGATGTTAAAATAAGTGAATGGAGATGCTGATGGGCAAAGGCCTCAGCATGTCCTGCAGAACAATATAATATCATTGTTTTTCTCTACTCTCCTATGTGCATTATCTCTTGTTCCTTGTTTTTAATGCTTGACTGTATACCACTTAGGACAGAGATAGTCCCTTTGTTCTGTATTCAAAAGAAGACTAAAGGATCAGGTGCTAGGATACAAATTATAAGTCAAAATAAAATGTTATTGTTCAAGGCTACTGAAATAATAGATGTGTTCTGTGCACTTTAGCACTGTTCCTGGGCTGTTAAGGTGCTTATCACTTGCTGTATCTTTGTGTTTAGGAAACCAACAGTTGCATATTGGTAGTGCTTTATTTCCTTCTTTCAGATGAATGTTACTTAAATCTGAAAAGACTAATCTTGCTTTGTACATTTATGTGAAATTGTCCATATACCTAACGTGTCTGAAAAGTGGAGACTGTTTTTTTCCCGGTATATCGCAGTGTAGCAATATAGGCATCGCTTCCTGCCAGAAGTCCTTGGGTAGCCACATGTTATTAGTATTATACTGTATCCAAAATAGTTAAAGGTAAAACTTGTGCTTTCTTTATATTTTGGGATTGTACTGTAGATATAGTATAAAAATAGAAATAGCATGGTATGTGGTGTATTGTTACATGCCTGATCTTATGCTCATTTTGTCTGTCTTCTAGATATTTTTTTCCTCTCCTTTTCAGGTTATATATGTCCCCAAAGAAGAAACTGACTCCAGTGCAAAAATGTGTCAGTCCATTAGTTTGGTGCAGGCAGGTATTGGATTACCCAAGTCCTGACATTGAATGTGCTAAAAAGTCGCTGATTCACAGGCTGGAACAGACAATGTCAGGTGAGTTCCTGCATACTAACACCGCCGGGTTGTACATGTTTATTCTGAAACAGTCGGAATTGGCTGATATTTGTTAGAGAAGAGGGTGACATCCAGCAGTTACTTCTATCTAAAGTTTTTAGTATGGCTTGCAAACAGTAATTCATTCTACTCATTTTCTGGACTGTATGAATAAAATTAAAGGAAGCATTAGATCATGAGTCATGATTTCAGAGTTTTATACTACCTGCATAGTTACGATTTGGTCAGAAGTTTTCAGGAAGAAACAATGTCCTTAACTTGGAGGTTTTCTTGTCTTATTTTAAGAGATGCCTGTATTGAACTATCGTAATTGTTAGGTGCTTGTCAGTATGTTAACACGGAGCTTAGTTTTCTGCTGGATGAGCTATTTTATTTCATCTAAAGAAATGGAGACTGAAGTTCTTGAATACTTTGGGGAGGTAATACTGATTTCTTTTCCTCCCATCCCCAGTAACTTAAGAACTTGTCGCAAATTAAAAAAATCCGGAGTTCATGATTCTTCCTTGATAAAAATTAGTTGGTTATATTCAAAACTGGAGAAGGACTGAGCATTTGGCCCTGTGAGGATGAAAGCCTAGATTCTCCACCCTCTTACTCCCAGCCTTTTTGATGTCAAACCAGCAGCAAAATGCTGAAGGTCTGATTAGAATTCTCTGTCCATCTGGTTTCTTGCTTTATTTTAATTTCTTTGTTAGAGCCTATTATTTTTTTTAAAAAGTTATGCTGAGACATAACTTTCTTGCTATTAATATCTGTTCTCTCCCTGTATTTCCATCTTTTTTGCAGTCTTGTGCTACCTGTGATCTATCTTTTTTAACTGTTATCTTCAGGAATTAGCAGAATGGCTGGACTTAAGCTAAGAACATATGAACACACAGTTCCAGGAGTGTTGCCAACTACCGGCTCCTTTACATGGTTATACATAAACTTTGTGCTGAGTTTATTTGACTGTAACTTTTTTCCCCCTCCTTGGATTCTTTTCGGGAGTGATTCAGTCTTTATTTTGGTTTGTACTAAAATCGTCCATAATAAAATTTGAAAACGTTGCTGGTAGATCACATGAAAAGTCCATTTCTTATTTTCATGAAAATCAGGGGTATAATGGTGAAAGTGCCTTCAGTATGAGTCACCTTTGATCTTCCCCTATTTCTTGTGCTTTGTGTATGCTGCTTTGACGAATGTCTATTAACAATTTTCCTGAACAGTTAACATGATATGTAGTTTGCTACAGGCAAAGACTGAAATTCTAAACAATGAAAAGTACCCAGATCCCAGGGATTTATGAACAATGATACAAGTTTGGGGATTCGAATACTACTGAGTATTTAGGACTGGATAGCAGTTAAGTTAAGCATGAACAATTTTGTTCATGGTTTAACTTCTTTTCAGAACTGAGGAAAAATCTTCCAGAAGTACCACGAATTCTGTTGCCCGTAGGGTATCTTTAAAAATTCAGTCATAGTTGAATCAGGGTGTCAGGAAGCTTCCCTATGAAATGGAGAAACTTGAAAGTTTGATCATTCAAATGATGTGTCTGGGCAACTTTACCTCTTTTTTTTCATAGACCTGAGAATCTGCCTCTGGCAGTGATCCTTGCAAGAATACTGCGATTCATCTATACTACTAATAGGGGAAAAAATTAGTGGTAGAAGAGATGGGCACTAATACTACTGGTTGGAGCAGATTGCATGGGAAAAATAAATTTGTAACAAAAAAGAAAATGGTCCTTTAGAGCAACCAGCCTACCTAAAAATATAGGGTAGCAGGAAGCTCCACTGGAGAAGAGTAGTGGTGCTTGTAACCTTGTGTGTGTTTCCTACCCCACAAGTTCTGGAATATCTTGTGACTTCTATTTTACATAGTACTTGTACCTCATGGACCCATCACTTAAAGTGAACCAGTAACCAGCAATAGGTTATCAATTTCAGTTCTGATCTCTGTGGATAAGGCTTTTCATACTACTGTTACTTTTTCTCCTGAATCCTTGTTCATGTTTCTTTTGCCTTGACTATTTTATCTTTGTCAGTTCCTGTTGTTATGTCTTTCTAATCTAATATCATTTTGCTGTTTCTCAGTCTCAAATGCACTCTTGTATTCCACATTTTCCTCTTCCTCCTTATAAAGAAATCTTTTCCATTTTA